TCTTTTAATGACAAAATATTTTGTCGCTAATTACTTATAAGTATGTTCCCAATAGAGTGTATTGGAGACAAAAAAATTCGTCATAAATTTATCATTTTTAATGATGAATTTGTTTTTGTCTCTATTGGTAGCTTCTTTGACAAATTTTTTTTTTCTTCGTTTATATTAAACGTGACAAAATTATTTTGTCTCCATTTTTTATATTTATGACAAAATACTTTTGTCTCTAATTTCTCCTTTAATGACAAAATATTTTGTCGCTAATTACTTGTAAGTATGTTCCCAACAGAGTGTATTGGAGACAAAAATTCATCACAAATTTATCATTTTTAATGATGAATTTGTTTTTCTCTCTGTTGGTAGTTTCTTTGACAAATTTTTTTTGTCTTCGTTTATATTAAACATGACAAAATTATTTCGTCTCTATTTCTTATATTTATGACAAAATACTTGTCTCTAATTTCTTCTTTAATGACAAAATATTTTGTCGCTAATTACTTGCAAGTATATTCCCAACAGAGTGTATTGGAGACAAAAAAATTCGTCACAAATTTATCATTTTTAATGATGAATTTGTTTTACATATAATACATGACAAAATTGTGTAAGAAGTCTTACAAAATCTATCTCAGGAGCACCACTGGGATTAAGGCGTTCAACTGATCGAACACATCCCCGGAACTTGTTAATGGCCTTCATTATTAAAGCATGCGACATTGGAGGATCTTGTTGTTAGAAAGCCAATGTTGTAGCTTGGCAAGAGCTCATGATACTCGGCACTAATACGCTCCCATAACTTCTTCTTTTTTTGATTAATACCCCTTACCGGATTTTGAGAAATTTCAAGTCATGCATTACATAGATTTTTATCCTCTTCCATTAAGAATGCTCGACCAGGTTGAACTAACTTTCCACCCAATTCCACACTTGAAGACATTTCTATAGAAAGTTTATATGGAAAGATGATTATGGCTTTGATAGGAAAAGAATTGTGATTTTAGAAGAGAAAGATATCTGTATATATAGACTATTTCTTATGTTAATGACTTGAATTCAATATTTAAAATGGTGATACTTTTCATCTACCAGTTGGTGGGAGAAGTTAATAAGGATGATGAACATAAACTTTGACAGAAGTTAAGAAGCATGGTTGGTAGGAGAAGTTAATAAAGATTTATGCTAGACATAGGCTTTGACAGAATGTGAAGTATAAATGGTAGTGATTAATTCGGATTGTACAAGAGCTAATAAATTTTGCAACATTAATAATATTTAATTTTTAATTTTTTGTTAAATATATTTAATATTAGACTCATTTTAAAGATATAATTTTAATATTTTTAATGATACCAAATTTATAAAATTTCGATGAACATATTAAAAGTTATTTGTATTTTATAACATATAACAAAAAATACAAAAGGATATAATTGGTATATAAATTTAAAAGCAAAAGGGCTTGAGGACAAAATTGGTATTTAAAAAATATGAATAGTGTTATAGAGATCATCCTTCATTTTTTATACTCCCTCTATATTTGAAAGATGAAACATCAATCCTCCCAAATGGAGTAGTATATAAAGGATGGGTTGGAGCTGAAAATAGAGAGAGAATGCTTCAAATTTGAAGATATAGAGCATGACTGGAGATGCTCTTACATAAGGAATATTTGTAGAGTCTTTGCTTTTTATTTTTTATTTTTTTATTTTTATTGGAACAATTTTTGCTTGATGTGAGAGAGAGAGAGAGGGGGGGAAAAGAGAAATTTGAGGGAGTTTGACAAACGTCTTCTTGGGTGAAATGATGAGTATGAGTTGGACTCTATGATAGGACTATAATAAATGACATGTATTGAATAAGTGATAAAGATGAAACTTTAATAATAAATTATATGTTGTCATGTATTGGATAAAAATAGAGTATAATATTTTTTTTATAGTCGGTTCGGGTTTGTACAATTTTGATGTAGGCCGAAAGGTACCACATTGAGGTCATTATTTGGTGGAGATGATGTGTTTTTGCACTTGTACAGATTTTGCAGGCAATACACAAATTCAAGCAAAAAGTGGAATAAAAGTAGATTCTCCATGCAAGTAGTGAAAATTCCCGTCCTGCCACCTCACTGCATGTGTGGCCAGGCTCCACTGCTTGTGCAGCCCACCACCGCTCGAGTGGCCCACCTAGGGTTCTGTGTGCAAAATTTCAATTTATTCTACTGGGAATAAAAAGAAGAAAAGAGGTTGTAATTAGGGTTCGAAAATATTTCAGAGAAAAGGGAGAGAGAGGCTAGGGTTTGGAAGAAAAAAAACTTGAAGTTTGAAGAATGTCTCCCATGGTGGCTTCTTCTTCTTCCACATCTTCCCACTCCTCCATGAGTAGCTAGGCTACTATTTCTAGGGTTTTGATGAAACCCTAGCCATGTAAAGAGATATTTCTTAGGCTTTGATTGTGAAACGGCTTGAATAAATATATGGATATTTTAGAAGTTTATAATAATTTTCCTTTTCTTCTCTTCAACTATTTTATTCTCTGTGATTGTTTAATACTTTCTATACATTAATTTTCTTTGTGTTTGTGTTCAAAGTATGAGACGAGTCATGCTACGAGAGACGAGTCGTGTTGCTACTATAGTTTAGAGTAAACGACTCATGCTGCTTGGGATGATTCTTGCCTGTACGTTGAATGCAACAATTCTCTTGATCAATGTTTTAAACTTGTAGTTGTGAAATATTAATTCAAACCAGATTACAATTGATGGCTGATGTTAAGTCTTATTTATGTGGTTAGTGGTGAATTCTTTGCCCTAGGATTTTCCCAAAAATCAGTATCTCAAACCCTACTTTTAATTGTCAATTCAATTTCTCAATTTCATTTAATTCTCGTTTAGTCATGATATCCCTTAATCTTTTTATCCAAATTAATTTAGGAATTTAACAATTAAATTAGTTTAATTTCCCATTTGTCCCTGTGGATCGATACTTGGACTTATTGTTATTCTAAAGAATTTGATATAGTTTAGAGTTTATTTTTGGTGTGTGAAACGACCCATCAAATTTTGGCACCTTTGCCAGGGACTTTTAGCGAAATTATTTAATTTAAAGTTACATTCTTTGTTTAATTTTTAGTTTAGGATTTTATATTTAGTGTTGCTAAGTGTGCATAGTCTTTGTAAGTGGAGTTATCACCGAAGTGCAAGCGGAGCGCAACCGAACTTTAAAAACAAACCGCAGCACTAAAGTACTTTAAAAAAAAAATACTCGCAAGCACAGCACCAAAGTGCTAAAAAAAAAGAAAGAGCTCAAGTGAAGGTTGGAGACAACGGTCTATACGTCAAGCACCCGCAAGACAAGTA